ATTTTAGAAATCAGGTTAGATGTCGAAAGAATTGTAACTATAGGTTACTTTCACAAATCAATGTTCAAAAATAATCTGAATTTGGAGAAGAAATTAAGGGAAATGCTTTATGTAAAAACTTATGATCTCCTTTAAAAATACTGTAAATGTCTTTAACAACAATGGGCTGTTACAGTCCATTTGCTTTGCAATACACTGTGGGTTGGTTGGTTTGTTGTTTCCTTTTGTTCTAGAGCTGGATATATCACCCTTTGCTTATCCATTCATCATCTGATGGCTATTTGGCTTGTTTCCACATCTTGGCTATTATGAACAATGCTGCTATGAACACTCATGTATAAATATCCGCATAAATACATGATTTCCTTTCTATTGGATATATACCCAGCAGTGGAATTGTTGGGTCATATGGTAATACTATGTTTAACTACTGAAAAACTGTAAAGACCATTTTCCCAAAGGGCTGCCTCATTTTACATGCCCACTGGCAGGAGTTCTAATTTCTCCACGTTCTCACCAACACTTATTATCTGTCTTTTGATTAGCCATCCTTGCCAGAGCAAAGTGGTATCTTTTGTTTTGGGCTTGTATTTCCCTAACAGCTGATGATGTTGAGCATATATTCATTAGCGCTTATTCGCCACTTATATAGCTTCCTTGCAGAAATGCCTATTCAGATTTTTTACTCATTTGTTAAACTTTGTTAAAATATACATAACATAAAATTTAGCCTTTCAACTGTTTTTAAGTGTACAATTTAGTGGCATTAGTTACATTAAGCAATACATTGTTAATATGGGACTGATGGCAAGAGTAGCAGTTTGAGTCCAATGGACCCAGGTTTAACCAAGGTTTTTACAAGGACAGGATAGATGATCAAGACAAGCCACTGAACCACTCTGAGACTCAGTTTGGTCATCAGAAAATAGAAGATTATGAGAGAATTAAAGAAAATAAATGAATATGAAAGCAAAGAGTCAATAGTAAATTCGCCTTACCCTCTTTAGAAATACAGCATGAATTACACTATATTATTTTCCCTAAAAAAGTATATTTTTAGTTACTTAGGAGATTAAAGTAGAAGATGAGATTTTTTTAAGTTATTGCATTTTAGAAGGTTTGATTTTTATCATTAGTAAAAATCTTTGAAATTATATTCTTCTTCACTTTTCAAATATTCCTATTATATTCCAAAAACTGATCTATTCCTAGACTATGTTATCCGTGTACCTGTTAAGCCCTAGAAATAAACTAAGGATCTTGAGGACTGGTTATGCTCAAATAATTATCTTGTAAGATTATAAAGTCAAATATTTGCAGGGGGAAAAAAATCAGTCTTAAAATAAGGATAATCACACCCACTGTAAGTATCTTAAAAATTCTTCACACTTCTTCAGTTTACCAGAACATGGAAAAATTGAGTGAGATTTCAGTCTCCTTGTGTATAATGTCTGTCAGATCATCTGCTGCGACATTGTGCTCATCTTCAGAGCGCATATGTGAGAGGGGAGCACGGAGTCTACAACACTGACTCAACCTCTATCCATCAAGTGGTTCCTTTGTGCTAGCCATCTTCTGGAAAGGGGAAAGATCATTTGGTGCAGGTTCAAATTTCATTTGCTGAGGTGGGCCTGATCATTTCCCTGCCCTGGTAAACATTCAGAAACCATTTTCATGGTGGTGCAGAGGGGAGATTTCAGAGCTTCACATGTTGAAGAGAGAGTCTTTTAGCTTCTCTCAGAGAGACAGCAAGATGGTTATTCCCTGCATTCACGGACACTTGTATAGTGAAGTTTTAAATTTTTTATTTACATAGATATTTAGTTTTTGTGACCAAAAAAACAATGCTCATATTAAAAGAAAGAGCTCCTCATATTTAAGAAAAATGATCTCCTCTTTATACTGTCTTTAACTGCCCTATTTTCAGTTTGTGAATGTGCGATGGTCCTTCCTACGTCAAGGCGCTGTATTTGAAGGCGGTTTTGCCTGCGCTCCACCCTCCACCGCAAACCTAGTTAATGACTATTCCTCTTCCACAGCTTAGCTCCTTGTCACTTTCCTATCTTCACCGCTCAGCCCCATCCATCCCACGCACTGAGCTCAGCACGCTGGATCCTTTTCTTTCACAACATGTAGTTTATAATTATTGGTAGATTATATATATCATATGTATATTGTTATTTCCATTATTGTTGATTAATGCTTATTTCCCCACTTAACTGTCCACTCCAGGAGTTTCTATTTTTCTGATCAATACAACCTGAAGGTATAGCACAGTGACTAGCCCAGGAGAGGTATTTAATAAATAGCCAGGGCGCCTGAATGACTCAGTCGGTTAAGCGGCCACCTTCGGCTCAGGTCATGATCCCCGGGTCCTGGGATCGAGTCCCACGTTGGGCTCCCTGCTCAGCAGAGAGCCTGCTTCTCCCTCTCCCTGTGCCTGCCTCTCTGCCTACTTGTGCTCTCTATTTCTCGGTCAAATAAATAAATAAAATCTTAAAAAAAAATAAATAGCCAGTAAATGAATGAGTGAAAGAAATGAATGAATGAATTTTAAAATGAATAGACTATTTTGGAGATGGTAAAGAAGACAAGTTCTTTCTATTTTGCTTTCCACTCAGCCACTCCTCTATAACCTTACTGTCTTATTTCCTAGATAGTAAGGAAAATCCCTTAAAAATTTGTTTCCCAAGATCCTAGCAACATCCTGGACTTACATGTAAATACTACGTGCTTATTGAATGAGTAAATGAATGAATGAAAGAATGAACGAAGAAAGGCAAATAAATATATATGGCTGAAATATCACTGTAGCTACAACAAATGTTACTGTGTGAATTCATAATGGAAGAGAGAGGGGAAGAATAAATATTTTACTAATTGAAAAAAATCATGAGCTCTGTTTAATGAAAGGAGACTCCACGGCTTATAGCACCTAAGGGCATAGTTGAGAGGTGTATGGTATGGGGCTGGTTGGACTCAAAACAAAGTGAAGTTTCTATAAAGAGAATGATCATCTTGAGCTGCCTGGTCTGAAGATAAGACCGTGTCATTTCTGCTGAAAGATTACAATTTAATTGTTTGCACTGATGTATCTACCATACATATTTGCTTATTCGTTCATTGATAAACTAGAGAGCAGTGTTTTTCTCACTGCAAACCATAGGCCAGTAGTAAGTGAAATCAATGTAGTGGGTCGCAACCAGTATTTTTTAAAGGAAAATAGAATTTTGAAAATAGGGAGTGCTACATATACTGAAATCCTTTCAGTTTTGCATATCTACATCTATGCACATACCAGGCTGCAATGTAAAATGTATTTCTTACTGTGGGTCATGGTCAAATAAAAAAAAAATGGAAAGCCACTGTATGGAGAAGAATGACTAATGGAATAGGCTCCACAGTCAGACAAATTGGCAAGCCAAGCCTGGTTCTAAAACAAGATACCTAACCACTATAAGCCTGGTTTTTTTCCTCTTTAAAATAAAAATAATGATATCTCACAGTGTCATTGAAAGAATAATAATTTAAAACACCTAAATATGTGAAATAATGATAATAAATAGTTATTGAGACTTTACTATGCTACAAGTACCATCTTCTTTAATCCCCAAAACAAACCTTATAAGGTAAGTGCCAGTAAACCTCATTTCACAGGAAAGGAAGCTGAGATACTGAGGATTGAAGCAGAAATCTTAATGCATATAAAAGTATGTGCCTCAGTGACTTGCACATATATGAATGGACACTATTATGAATTACCAGCATTACTTTAATGAATCCCTACTTTAATACTTCCCATGTAGCAGGTGTTCAACAAATATTTGTGAGGGGTAAAACATACCTCAGGAACTCAGAGCACTCTTCACAATAAATTAAAAGTAAAATGCTCTGGGAACTTAGAGGGGTAGAAATTCTTCTGAACTACTTTTGTAAAAGGAAGGTCTGGGGAAAAGAGCCTAGAGTGAGGTCTTCACTGACGTGGTGGGGTCTGTAGAGGTAAAGGGAACAGTGAAGGTATGATCAAGGCCCAGGGACAGAAGAAAGAGGGTACATAGTTTGGTTACAGATTGTAGAGAGAAGTCATTGAGTACGAGCTTAAAGGGACTGTACTTTATCTTACAGCTAAAAGGAAACCACTGAAGACTTTTAACAGTGACTAATGAAAAAGATGCAAGCATTGAGACTGCTTAATAACCTCCATATGATTACTGTTTAAAACATCGTGTAGATATTTTGACATGAAAACTGAATTCTATCTTCTCAATTTTATGGGTGGAAAACCAACCTTGCTTCAGGGGAAATTATAATTAATAAAACATTAGTTAATCTCTAGAGTTTTCTGAGAAATTCTATTATAAGATGTATGTACAAATTATTTTATTATAGCTGATCAATTTATAAAGCACTTTAGCTTGAAAAAAAACTATGTGCTTAAATGTAAGTTTTATTAGAACAATTGCATTTTTCGGGTTGCAGAGTTTGAGGACAGGATTATTTATATAGTTTTTAATTGATTTAAATAATTATGGAAATAATTACAGGGATTAAAAATATTGATTCCAGCCTTTACCTAAAGAAATCAATTTATACCAAAAAAGTATATCCAAATATCTGTTCTCCAACAGATGTAATCCTTAATATTCTAATATTTATTTTATTATATACTGTGGTACAGAAGATATATAAATACATACATATATTTAATTTTAATATATATACATATATATTTAATTTTAATATAAATATATACATATATATTTAATTTGCATATGATGAACTACCTACAGAATTTTGTTTCATCCTGATTTCAAATCCCTGCATCCTGCTATTCTTGAAAATATGTAATAAACAGAATTCATATTTAAATGAATAAAATAAGATTTAAACCTTATCCTTAAAATATTTTAAACCTTAAAAATGTTTGATGCTATATAAGGCATACAGCGTCTAAAGTGCAATCTTACATATTTTGGGTTAAAAAAAATTGAAAAAGGGACCTTCTGAAAATTAAGTCCTTGTGCCCAGGAACAGTTCTTGGGGTTTGGAACATCTTCCCAAAACAGCTTTTTCATTCTACAAAGGAGAAACAAAAAACATTCATACTGAAAATGTTCACAGTTAATGAATACACAAACTAGAAATTAATCTACCAGATCAGCTATTTCTCAGCAGAATCTGATTCATTTTCACATGCTATTCCGTGAAGATCTCCACCAATGTTCTATCTCGACTAAAGTTAATACTCATTATAATAATAAAATAACCAACACTTACTGAATGCTCTGTGCCAGGCACTATGCTAAACACTTTGAGTGGATTTTTCTTGAAGAAACAATATGTTAAAATGGCCACCAGGGCACCTGGGTGGCTCAGTTAGTTAAGCATCCAGCTCCTGATTTCAGCTCAGCTCAGGATCTCAGGGTCATGAAATTGAGTTAAGATTCTCTCCCTCTCCTTCTGCCCCTCCCTCCCTCTCTCTCTCTCTCACACACAAAGAAAAAAAGGTGGCCATCAATTGAGTTTCAGAAACAATTCCACTTGATATGGCCCCATCAGCTCACTTGACTGAAAGATTGATATTCAGAGTCTAAAATCTCCCATCCCTCTTTTTTGCTAAAAGACAAAAGTTTCTGTAGAGATTTGACATGTGCGAAATAATTTCATAGGTCTGAGCCTCTCAGCACACAGTGATATGGCACCCTAGAACCACAAGAAATTCAAGGCCATTTGCCAAACCAGACAGACTGGGGAGCCACACAGTGCTGATTTTTAAAAATTGGAGTGCTTACTAATCATAAATGAACTAACCACTCCAGGTGAATCTTCATCGCTAAAAAGTCCTCAACCCAAATTGTACAGCTCTAAAAGCCATTTTTGCCATCTCTGAGAACACACTGCCTAGAATTTCCGTTATAAGCTTGTTATTTCCTGAATGTATTTACATATAAAACATGAATTTCGTCCATGATGTTTGTGTTGTACTAGCAAAACCGAATGTGGTTTCCTGAAAACAGGTCTTTTCTTTTTAGGCCATCTCAACTGTACACTGAATATACATAAACATATTTAGGAGACTTTAATGTTTCTGATTTGGGTTTTAAATCAAGGTTTAAATACGCTCAAGAGCTTTGGCCATAAAGATTCGTAACACCAAGTACAATACCTTTGGTGTGATATTAACAATGTTCCAAGCAGTAAGATCGAAGAGGAAATAATTATTGGCACAATTACATATAGCCCTGCATCATTCTGGTGTTTTTCAATGTCATCTGAAAAAAAAAAAATACAATTCACATGATTCAGAAGCTTCAGGAAATAACAATATCTTTCTGTATCAAAAATTATAGCAGACTTTTTTCTGACTGCATCATAAATCTGCATTACCTTTAAAGATATAAAAATAAAAAAGAAGATAAAAGTAAAGCTATGATCACCTTAGTGAACTGTTATTTTGTGCAGAATTATGCTCACTGTAAGTTGACAAAACAGTTTTTCAAAATTATTTTTTGCCAATTCCATGTGATCACTTCAGGTTATATGAGAAAGTGCCAATTAAAGTTGTTCCAATGACTCTCTGCCTCAGTGTCGCTTCTGGATAAGCCAATCTTCAACATCTGCCGGTCTCTACCTTGCTCACTCCACACACACTGACCTTGCTTTTCTTGAGCCACCAGCACGCTCGTTCTTCAGAACATTTGCACTTGCACTTGCTATCCCTTTGTCTAAAATGCTCTTCTCTTTTGTACTTGAATGGCTTGAACTAAAAAGACCAATTCTGACCATCCTAACTAAGGCACCACATTTTAACTCTATCCTTTTACCTTACATTTATTTTGCTTCATGGCACTTATTTTTTATTATTATTAAATTAGTCCTTTTATAATTATTACCAATTGCCACTCTTATGCTATTTTTAATTGATTTGGGGGATTTTTTTGAGTGCAAGTAATTTTTTTAAGTTTTTATTTAATTCTAGTTAGTTAACATATAGTTTAATATTGGTTTCAGGAGTAGAATTTAGTGATTCATCACTTACACATAATACCCAGTGCTCATCACAACAAGCATGGCACTTATTTCTATCTGCCATTATATTATACATGATTTGTTTACTCTCACTACCATTAGAGCATAGGGATTAAGGTCCATAAGGACAGAGACTGATGTTTACTGTTCAATCCCCAGTTCTTGTACCCAGCCTGTATGTGTCAAATAATAAATGAATGAATTTTTATCATTATTTTAATTCTAAAACCAGGCAAAATATTTCTCTCTTGAAACTTCATTATTAGGTTGCTTGGACTTGAAGACAATTTGAGCCGTAATAGCAAAATCAAAATGTTGATACTCCAAGTACAGTAAGATGAATTAGAAATTTAAGAGGCATAATGAATTTATTTCTGTAACTACTTCTCCAGTTTTATTTTTAGAGGAAAAATGTTTCCTTTAAAAGACTGATTAAAATTTAAAGGCTTGGGCGCCTGGGTGGCTCAGTCGGTTAAGGGTCTGCCTTCGGCTCAGGTCGTGATCCCGGGGTCCTGGGATCGAACCCCACATTGGGCTCCCTGCTCAGCGGGGAGCCTGCTTCTCCCTCTCCCTCCGCCTGCCCGCCCCCCCGCTTGTGTTCTGTCACCCGCTCTCTCTGTCAAATAAATAAAATAAAAATCTTTAAAAAAATTTAAGGCTCATAAGTATGTACCTCCAAAACATATTATTTGGAGGTAGATGCATTTATATGAATTGTACAGAAAATTAGTATTTTTCTAATTAGTCTTTCTGATGATGTATTTTATTGTATTGCTGCATATTTTCCTTTATTTCGTTTCCATTAACTTTTTATCCAATTTGAGACTGAAAATGTTAATTTCCAATACCAGAATATCATGCTTGATTATTCTCCTTACTACCACACCAAGGGACCATGTAGCCTCCCTGACACATCTATGTAAGACTCTGGACTCTTCCATGACTCCATTAGAAAGAAAATAATCAGATGGCAACATAACTGCTAACTAAGTAGGAAACCACACATCTGTATAAAAAGAAACCAGAAGGAAAAGTCTTACCTTGGGTGAAACTATTAATTATCTTTGGTTTCCCCACTCCTTCCATAAATACTGGGTAAAGACTGAATTGATACTTCTCAATGGGGATAAAATGATCTGAAGAGAAAAATATATTAAAGGTCATTCTTACTGAATTAATATTAACAATTGAAACATATATAAAAAATTTAGGTGACTCTCTTATTTTTCTGAACATAGAAATAAGTTGTTATTTATGGATCGAAACTGATGATTAAGGGAGTTTCAAAAACCACCTAAGCATTCCAAATTCTCCTAGTAATGACAATAATTTTCAAAAAATTTTTGAAAATATTACCCAGAGACATGAGATTGCAATCTTCAAGGGCATGTTCCAATGATAGCCGGTTTGTTCAAGCTCACAGTGTATGAACTTCCACTTTCCCTTTTCCTTTCCAGGACAATATACCCTACCTCCTCTCCCATATCCTGAAAGCCAGCAATATTCCCCTTTCACGGGCATTTAGCTTGCTTATTTTCCCCATTCAAGGCAGCTGTGAGACTAAAGTCTTATGAAATGCAAAGAAATGGGGGTGGGGACCAGAGGTCCTCTTGGCTTATCTGGGGATCCCCCTGTCAGGGGGACAACCATCTGTATAGCAAAGTTCAAAACGAATCTATCAGTGATGTATCATTTTTACAAACATATAGATATTCCACAAGGGATAAATCTTGTTGAAGCCTAGATTATATACTTCCATGGCTTAAAGAAAAGCACAGAGAATAATCATCTGGACAATAGTGGTAATGAATTGAATTTAGTTCTCCATCAATCATTTCTACTTGCCCTGATGCTAAATTCTAGGGCCTTTGGAATGAAATAGAAGTACAAGTCTCTGGAGTAATATTGTATAATAGGGTCATGGCGATCGTTAGCTTCCCTACTAAAACCTTACTCAGACTTGGAGATACTGTATTGTGCGGGATTGCTTTGTACTTTAATCACGTCCTGGGGCAACTGGTCTACTTAGGGGAGTTTATGCTGCCTACAGCACTTAGTCCTACATTTGTAGACCTTCAGCCTGGCATTCCCACTCACTGCTAGTAGCATTATAAGTTGGTACATAGATTTGGGAAGACAATTTGGTGGTAGATATCAAAGGCCATTAAAAAACAGTCTAGGGAAAAAAAAGTAAAGCTGGAAGCAACAAAAATTTTCTCAAATAAATAAACGGTTTAAGTAGACTATGGAATAAAATGCTATATGATCATTAAAAATCATGGCTAAAAGGACTGGGGAGAAAATAGAAATGTGTTTGTGATATATCAAAGGAACAAATCAGAAGAAAAGTGATAGATGATAAGATTATGACTGTGTAAAATATTTAGAAAGGATCGAATGAAACAGAATTGAATGTTTATGACAAAGTGATAGAATAAAATATGGTAAGATGGTAGTATCATCTACATGTTTGAAGTTTTCATTAACTGGCTATCTTATTTAAATTAATAATCACTCTAATGCTAATCCATAAGAGAAACTTATTAAAGCACAGCAAACTTACCATGGATATAATACTTCTTAACAGATGGAGGGATCCTAAGCCATTTAATTTCACTGTCTTCATTAAGAATTTTCCACTCAGTAATAAAATACATCAGATAGTAGTCACTGGGTGATAGAGTCCAGGAGAGAAGCACACAACTGTTGTTTAAAGGATAAGCACTGAGTGACTGCACGGTATTTACTGAGGGGAAAAAAAAGGAAATTTGTTTTTAAATTCAAAATTAATTTAAAAAAAATCTCCTAATACATTTGAGGCACATATAACCTACTCGAGGAAGGGAAAAGGAAGAGAAGGCTGACGCTTATATAGATAAATATAATACAAGTATTTTTGCACCACAGAGTCATATATGCAGAAAGATGTGGGAACATACGCCATTGAGGAGAAACCAAAATGGGGTTTCGGGATAGAGTCAAAACAGTTGCTCTCCACTGGAGTACTGCACAAGCCCATTCATCATCCTCTCTACTTCCGTCCAAACTCCTCTCCTGCTGATGGAATTGGGCTTTCAAAGGACAAACCTGATTATTTAACACCCTCTGCACAAAGTCCCATTTAAAAGCCTCCGCTGGATTTCCACATGTGAGGATGAACTGCCTACCATGTCTGTGAGGCCCAGGGCCAAGCCTCACCCGGCCTCCCAGCCTTTCAGGATTTTCTGCACCAGAGCCACCCTAGTCGCCTTCCGTCGGGTCCTCTCCTGTGCCGCGAGGACTTTCGGTCCAACTACTCCTCTCTCAGGAGCCCATGCTCTCTCCCCACCTATACGGGTTCTTAAGAAAGCTTCTCTAACCCTCAATGCCAAGTCAGATTCTATTTTCTTTTCCTTCATAAAATTACATTCCTTTCCTGGGAATACTGATCAGAGTTTGTAAATAGGCATTAACTTGTATGATTATTTGATCAATGTCTGTACATCTATTGGACTCTTCTGGATGCTGAGACCATTCTCATGGTCCGAATGCTGAGACCATTAGAGTTTTTCTCACATCGGAATTCCCACCACCTAACACAGCACAGCATTCAATAAAAATCTCTAGAACATACTGGTTGAAAATATTTTTAGTGTAAAACATTGTGCAGATGCTATGGAACTTATAATAAGCTTATGCCATACATACAAAAGTAATCATAATTTAAGGCAAGATATAAAATACCTTAAGAAAGGTAGAAAGCACCCTGATTTAGGACATATCTGATTAAAGCAACAAGCAAAGAATTCATGGAAGAGATTAGTAGAGGCAGAGTAAATTTGAATTTTCCATTAAAAAGTTATACTTTGAATATGTAATCCAGATTAGGAGCTCCTATTAAAAGTAGTTCTCAATTCTCTAATTAATCAAATATATCAAAATTAATGAAAGAAGATTCATCACTCTTATGAAATGAAGTACAGGTTAATTTTCAAATCTGAGCAATTATTTGCATCCATATAGTATGTAATACTATTATATATATGTAATAAATATAACATACACATATACATGTACTTATTTTTACACACACACACAGACCAGGAAAGAGACTGATTTATGTACAACTTCCATTGATGCAAAAGGTTTAAGTATTAGATTTACGAGAATATTCTCATTTATCATAATACTATATCAACATGGTTCTATTACATGAAAACCCAAGGACCATATTACAAAATCAGGGTGCAATCTCTTTTGCTGTTTTTCAGAGAAGAAGAGATAAGAGAGTCCTTCAGATTCAGAGAATTGCAGGCTTTTTGGAAGATCATTTAGAATGGGAGGAGTATGTAAAAATTAAATGCTAAAAGGGGCACAGGTTTACTACCCTGCACCCTTTCTTACCTTTGCTCATAGGCCATGAGAACGTTAAATTAAAATTCACAAAAGAAGTACCAATTGAATTGACAGCCAAAACTGTAACAGAATGTGCTTGTTCTGTCCACAGGAAAGTGAATTTAGTGTGATTTCCCACATCTTCTGACCATGTTCCATTGCGGGAAGTATGATGTTTTACCACATATTTTCTCACACTGCACAATGAGTCATTTTTCATCAGAGGCTGTAGTAAACATAAAAATTGATTAGTTTAAGGGCTCCAGTGCTTTTTATACCAACCAAGCCCATGAACTCTTCTTATACGTTCTCCACCGGGAGGCAGGGTCAGACCAGGGCAAGCCCTGTCTAGTTCAAGGCTGAGATATGGGGAGGTGAGGGGGGATAGAGCCCATCTCTGACCACGGATGCAGTGAAGGCATCTGGGTGAGTATGGAGCACAGGAAATTTATTTTCTTCCTTTTGGGTTTTTCTCCTTAAGACTCAGAATAAATCACTTAAAGATAATTAAATATGGATACAATTAGGACATTTTTCTACCAAGAAGTTTCACACTAATTTTAGAGAAAAGAGAGACCAGCAGGGAGTCAAGAGTTTCCTTATCGAAAAAGCAAACAAGGAATAACCCTCTAGTTCTGTAAAGCAACAACAAGAAAGCTGAAGAGATGTTAATCATCATTTATGTTAATCCCAGTAAGATTTATCATTTGTTTGCTCCTCTTCTGATCTGTTGCTAATTCAAGTAGCAGAGGCTACCAGAACCGTGTATATGGCACCCCAGAATTTCTGCCCCATAGTTTAAAAAAAAATCATACCAGATCACTGATGATTCCAATATAATATAGAATATATGTCTCTGCTCTTTCATTTTATAGAGTATTAACAATATACCCCACCTGCCCCATTACCACCACCTGTTTCAAATAAGATAAGCCAGGGGTGCCTGCGTGGCTCAGTCGGTTAAGCGTCTGCCTTCAGCTCAAGTCATGATCCCAGAGTCCTGGGATCGAGCCCCGCATCGAGCCCCGCATCGGGCTCTCTGCTCGTCAGGGAGCCTGCTTCTCCTCTTGCCCCTCCCCCTCCCCCTGCTCGGGCACGCATGTGCGCGCGCGCGCGCTCTCTCTCTCTCTGAAATAAATAAATAAATAATCTTCAAATAAGATAAGCCAATCCCTTATAAACCCATAGAAAACGATTCCCTACGATAGACTGGAACAGTGCTTCTCAATATATTTGTCATCGAGATTCCTCTAAGTCAGACATAACGGACAAAAATAAATACAAATGCATATACGTGTGTCCCTGCAGGGTGTGGAACAATGTGGGCGGGGGGGGGGGGTAAGATCTGAGCAGGCGTCATCCAGTCCAGCCCTGCATTTATACAGATCAGGAAGCTACGGCTGAAGCGTCTAAGTGACTCCGCCAAAATAATGCTGACTGAGCTCTAACATGTTCGGCTGAGAACAGAATGAATTCCCACACTCGTGCCAGGGCCCCTCCGCAGAGCTCTCTGCAATCCCATCTCAGAATGGAAACAACCAAGTCAATCTTTCGTGAGCATAAAAATAAAATTTAAGAGTAACATAAAAGCATGAGTACCTTCCAAAGTAAAGTAACATTTCTCTCCTTTTTAGTGGTGTCTTCCTTAATTATTCTCCAAAATTCAGGTCCTCTGGTAGGCACTGCAGAATGACAAGGAGCCCAAGTGGTACACGTGTTCTCAGGAGGAATCTGAGTCACATTTGAAACACGCCCGTATGCATGCATTTTTAAGACACATTTACAAAATCTCTACAGACCTTTTATATCCATGACAACTGTGTAGGCGGGACTACTCCAATTACTCCAATACCCCAGGCCATCCAGCCTCCGGCAGCGCACCTGAACAGCATAGACTGCACACAGGTCCGGCACCAGGACACTGGCTGACTTTGATTTTGCATCATATACCTCATACATCTGTAAAATAAGGTCAAGCGTTAGACTAATCATTACTAACACCTACGTAGCTGACGGGCCCGAAACGTCATTCTATTTAAAACCTTAATACCATTCCAAAATTAACTGACTTTGTGTTTTCTGGCTTGAGAAATACTTGTATTAGACTTGGATCATGAGCTCCTTCAGGTTAAGGATTGTCTCAGTCATCTTGTTGTTTACTCCTCAGGACAAGATTTGGACTGGCCTACTTGCAACCTCGGTCCCCAGTCACTCTTCACTCCGTTACTAATCTCTGTCCACTAATTCCCTATCCACAAAAACTCTCAACAATTTTAACCTAGTGATTACATAGTGATATCTCTGTTACTCAGTCTCCTCAATAAGCTGGTAAACTGTCAGATTCCTTTCAGCTAAAATCTTTATGATCTAATGACATAATATTTAGGGTTCCTAACGTTTCTGGGTCTTTGCAGGCTGCCACCTGAAAACTGACATGGCCAGTCATCATATGCACACTCGCCACTATAGGTGTGATTTTGGTTGTTTGATAAAAGCAGCTTCTTCCAAAATATGTCCCAATGAATATATAGGTACTAAGAAATACTATTAGATGTTAAAGGAAAAAGGGTTCCTCAGTAAAATGAGTTTGAGAAACATAGGATGAAATAAAAGTCACAAAGTCACAAATGTTTCTTTAATGCAGGACTTCTCCGAACCTTTAGTATGCAACAGAGTATGATTTAGTATGTAACAGGAACACACAGTGATGCAGGGTTTCCTAAGTTGATTCAGCCATGAATCTTTTTTCAAGGAATATTTTATGGGATCAGTGTTCTGTCACACTCATTTTGGGAAATGATGGCTTGCAAGAAATGTCATTCCTTGAAAGGGTTAGACCTATTGCAATCTACTTAACAAAAATAGCTACAGAATACAGAAGAGGTACTTTTATGCCAATAAAATAAATCCTAATCTATACAGTTATTAAAACAGTTGTATGAAATAACATTTAGTGAGGCAAGCCGAAGACATTTCTCAGTTAAAGGTACCTTCCACTGTACTTCTTTTCCATTTAAGCCATAGCGAATCTGGAACTTAAGATTATTCTCTGGAAAGACTGGCTTTTCCCAAGATATTTTCAATAATCCAATTTTTACAGTAATTTCTGCTTTCACACTGGATGGAGGCAGTGGTTTCACTAGAAATTTTAAAAACAGCATACTATAACAGCAACTTAAACAGTGATAATATTTTTAAAACTTTATTATGATGTTATAACTTTTATACTCAATATTTATAAAGCAACCTCTCCTTCTCAAAGCTTCCTCATTCATTATCTCACTTGATCACCTACAATTTCAGGTGACACGTAAGAAAGGGATTATCTCTATTTTGCAAATAGGTTGATTGGGAAAAAAATCAATACACTGACCATGTCATCTGCGAGTAATAGTAAGATCTGACTAGAAATTGGGCCATTAGTTCCGCATGCAAAAGATTCTGTACTGAACACTAAGTATCGACAGCATGCTCGGTTCTACGTGGAGCTTTAATAAAAGGAAAACTATAACATGCACTGTATTCATTTCCACCTGTGTGAGTTTCAAACTGTTCTACTCTTATTATCTCTAGGTCAAGGTCAGAGATAGTCTTACAGAGTAAAGCCCCAGTTCTCTATCATCTGAGGAAAACAGGCTTCTGAAGGGCAGAAGTAGAGGCAAAGATGACCAGAATGGCAAAGGCTTTAAAAAAAAAAAAAAAAGTAAAAGACAATACGCAAACTCAACATATTTGGGAATTAAATGTCCCAAAGCCCCAGCACACAAGTGTGAACTTTGAAGCTCCAGACTTCATCAACAATACCTTAGACTGTTGATGACCAAAACCCCTAAACTTTTTCATTACTAGTTTCTCATATTTGTTCAATTCTTCATATATGAAGAAGACACTCTATACCAACCAGTAAGATGACACGCAGTTCATCTCCTGAAAAAATCATTCCTCCTCAGAAAAGGAAGTATGGATGTTTGAGAGACACTAAAATTGTACTTGACTGAATCATATGGATGTCATATAGATCCATTCCATGAATATCTAGTTTACAGAAAGGATGCTTTAAAGTATAAGAGTTTGCATGATCCCCACAGCACACACCCTGGGGAGTTAAGCAGAGCTTTCCACATTTTATGGGTGATAAAAGTCACAGAGCACTTACATGTCTAGCCCATGTTTACAAAGCTAGTAACAGGTGGTGCTGCATTTGGATCCTAAAGTTGAATCTCCACATTGTTTCCTAGTACTAAGGAGTTAATAGAAGCCCAACTTAAATTCCTTATTTTAGTAGTAAAAAGAATAACATCGAAGGTTGTTTGGATAGCATACAGAACTGAATCCATGTTGCATTTGTCATATATTACATGTGAGGTTCTATCTGTGCATGTTTGTGGGGTAGAGAGTGGTAGGAGGGTTCTTTGCTGTCCCAGGATACTTAGTATCAGAGAAGTCCTGCTTACAGTAAATTCACTTTAAGTAGAACCAAACTAAATAGTGGGGGTGGGGGGACGTGGGGGGGTGGCGGGCATGCTAGCTTTGGGGGTGGGGAATCAATTACTTGGGACTCTACAGTGATTAAAAAAAACCCTAAAAATTATGACTTTATGCTATATTTAACAAAATATAAGTTTTAATTCAGATGTGTACTAATTATTTGAAAATATAATGAATCAAATATTGATTTTTGGCATAATTTCCCAACAAAACAGAATACAGCACCAAAAGATATTCTTTTACCTCTATTGTATAATCATAAATGGGTCATTTCTCAAAGATTTCACAGCAATATCGGAGAGATATATATTTCAAGAGCTCTCTTAACTTTGAAATCAATATATCTTTTTAAAGAGTATTTAAAATTCATGATGGATATCATCATCCTTGATCTATTGTCTCTTCTTCACTTTAGTTATTTTGAATCCTTCTGCATCCTACACAGCCTCACAAATTAAACCCATGGGTTATAACTACTAGATTACAAAATCCATCACAATACCCAAATTAAATTTTTAAATTAAAAACACCAAATGTTTTCATAAGTATACTGGGAGAAAAACAAAGCAGTGCATTATTTAGATTAATATTACTGCTAAATTTTATTCCCAATGCCCAATATAACTCATCAGATTATATGCTGAAAATATTCTTATTGCAAAAATACTGTGCTATAAGTAACTTAAAATAAAATAAAAATGGCAAAACTTTCTAAGGTTGATTGTCTTCCCAATTCCACTGTAAACATGAAAAAAGTTTTTGTTTAAATATAGTGTGATCAGGAAATGGAAAAACACAACAGTTTCCATGAATCAATCTGAATCCAAATCTGCTAGTAAAAATGAAGACACACAACACAGTTTGACATACCCACGGAATCAGGAACGACACACGTTGGTGGAGAGTCAAGTGAACCCAAAGAGTGATTGATTTTAATCCACATTGTATAGCCGGATAATAGAAAGATGGGCTGAAATATGCATTCATAAAAACCATCTCTCTGCAAATGGCAATCTTTGGGTTCAGATATGGGATGAATAGATGGAACATCGGAACAGTAAAGGCTGCTCCTTAAAAGATATGAGAACAGTCAGTTAATATACAACATGGTTGAAAGCAGTAAGATATTTCAGAATACCATAGTTTCTGTTCCATCTAAAATAAATGTTCTTATTGGAAAGGCATTTTTGAATTCCCAGCTCTATCACAATTTTATTTATGTCTTTCCATAAAAATAGACAAAAAACCTTATTAAACATTTTATTAGGTACTAAGTGGAAATGCAAGTAAAATAAATGGCATTGCTCTAAGAAGGAGATAAGGATACAATCAGAGGTAGGACCTACAACACTTTGAAAGTTAAGCTAATGTTATACATAAGTGATACCATTTTAGAAGTATAGATCGCAAGCGGTATTGGGACATTCCTGAGATGGGAAGGAAGATAAATCCCTTATGCTTTAAATAGGGATTAAATTCCCCCACAACTTGAAGACACAACTGATAGTAAATTATAGCTTAATAGACAATGTCCTAATATTTTCTGGTTCAAAGCAATATAATGAAAATAATACCAATTCTTGATTCATACCTGAATCATATGGTTAAATATAAAACATATAACACATAATCTCAGAGAAGAAAATTAAGAAAGTAAGCTTTATAACTGTGTCCTGATCCACACTCTACCTCAGAATATACAAAGCACTTCTCCTTTTTTTTGAAATAGCCCTGCTCCTGCCACTATTTGCTCTCAATATGGAATTTAAGTGGTTAAAGTAGCAGTTACTGTTTCCATAAAAATGGAGTTAGGAGGTTACAAGAAAATGAAAAATCTATATTCTTCTGTTTCTCGTTTTCTTTTTTTTTTTTTTGTGACACTTTTCCTGCTTACCCCCTCAAAATTACAATCATTGGGGGGGGGGGGGGAGGGAGGGCGTGGGCAGGGAAGGGGAGGGCCAGAGATCAGAACAAGGCATGAGGCGTCCTCTGGGGGTAGGAAGAACTGTGACCATGTACTAAAGCACAGTAATACTCCACTTGGAATGCAGAGGTTAGTGTCTTCGTCATAATGACAACGATAGCCATTTATTGAATATTTACCAGGAGAAATTCTATCGCATAATTATAATTAAATGGAATATATCATTAATTCTAACAGAAACCTTGTAAGTCCTATTATTCTTTCCAGCTTACAGACGAGGAAATCGAGTCTTGGAGAGGTTAAAAAAACCCTGCCCAAGCACGTGCAGGGACTTTCACAGTTCTTCTGTAAATGTTAGCAAGATAAATGGGACACAGAGCTTATGTGATGGTCATCCACAAACACCCTTTTTAATGTGAAAAATGCCATGGAAAAAAAGGAAAGATAGATTAAAAAGTAAAATGGCATCCATGAATATTCTATTGATTTCAAAATACTCCTATCAGGTAAGATAAAGCCAGCTATTATTCCTATGTAAGAAATGTAAAAATTGCCCCATTTTTTTCTAATACTACATAAGAATAGACTGGTCACTTTAGGAATAGAATTCAGATCACAGTATTTGAGGAGGGGGACTTGTTTTTCAAGTAGAAAATTTAGATTTTAAGAATAAATGAGGACAAGTGAAACAAACTGGAAGACCCCAGTACAAACACAAATTGAGACAGGGTGTTTGAGAGCCGTACACATAACTGAAAACTACTAAGATTATAAAAATAAATATGTATCTACCTTCTCCTAATCAAGAGTGCTATTATTTCAGATGATACTATGGGAAGATGAAGCCTTGAATTCTTTTCAAAACAGGGAAGGGTAAAAATAAGCACAAATTACTATTACAACCCTTCACTCCTTCTTGTTTTCTTTCTTTGTCTTTCCTGCTTCTAAAAGTATTCATATTATGTCTTACAATCTTTGTGCCACTACCTCTGACTTTTTTCCAAAATATTAATCTTCAGCAAATGATATTGGACTTCTGTAATCTCTGATATTCTCCTCTAGTCAACTCTTAGAGAGTTCAAATTAACTCTTAGAGAGGTCAAATTAAAATGTACAGAAACCAGCTTTTCTTGGATTTCATTCAGTAGTTAAAATGCAATTATGGAAAATTAATCGATTATCAGAAAAACTAATTTGAGGTAAAAACGAATTATATGTTTTACCTCAATGTGAGTTTTTTCAAAAACCACCAATTTATAACCACCAATTTCCTAATCAAGTAGATTCTACCTTCCTCTTTCAGGAAGAACGTCTAACTAGAGGACTGTTATGAGGATATTTCTACAGGAAGTTTTATCTCACCATATCCCCAGAACAATAAAACAGCAAAAACAGTACTTACCTATGATACCTCAACTGCAAAGTACTTCCCATGAGTGATTGGATTGCATTGGTCGACCATCTGCAAGTCATTTTAGTTAAGTACCCATCAGTTTCACATGATATATTGATATTGACATCTATTTAAAACACATTAAAATATTAATACAAAGCAAAAACACCAAAGCAATTTTTAATGACAATAACATGTCCTTACATTATCAATGGGACTCTAATATAGGGTCCATAATCCCTGCGGAGGAAAACGGAGAGAAGTGCAGTCAGTATTCTTACCAATCACGTATAACTCCGCATAGCGATGGTGGCATTCCTGCTGGTTGCAGCAGTACACTGCGTCGTAGGTGAACTTCCCGCGAGGCTTGGTCGCATTCAAATTTGGAAAGGTGACTTTGCTAATACGGTCACCCACCACGGTATACTGGCTCGGAGGGATTTTCTCAGCTAAATTCAGCCACCAAACAATCTTTTTTGAGGAAACAATCTCGTTTTCGTTTTTATAAATGCAGTGAAAAGAAACGTTAGACCCGACACTTGTCAGAATTTTAGGTGGAAAGTATATGACATCTGCAATAAGAGAAGAAGGGGAGGATGTCGGATGAAGACCAAAAACATCCTGTGAGGAATTTACGCAACGTAGAAAGGCTTCACAATGCATTCAGGATCATACTGCCAAAAATAGTGTACTAAGAGACTGGGTAACTGTAATCGCCTGTTTATGGACAGTTATGTAGTATCCCAGGCACTCCCATTCCCAAATGACTTGAACTTCCACAAATGTCTTCACTGTTTTCTAAACATAGAGACTTAGTACAAAATAGGTTTTAGTGTGTACTTGTCACTTGCTAATGGATAGGCCGAAAATTAATTCAAATGAAATATAATCTAATTCCACAATGACACGTTTTCCATCAGACTCCGCTTTAAGGATCAGTGAAATGTAGGGTGAGTTATTGAATCCAATCACTCTAAGGCAAAATCCTGAAGAAAAAATGGTGGTTGCTATTGTTTCATTTGGATATATGAAAATTTCAAATAAGCAGGTAAAGTAGAAAAATAAGCTTTAAATAAGAAAACTAGTTAGGATATGTAAAATCAATGATGCACCAATGCAACAAAACAGGAAAAACTGTAAATACTGATCTGTAATATTTTAAGTTATTTAATGCCAGTATGCTGTGGTTAAGGACAAGGGGAACCTACAATTGCACCCAAAACCATAAGATACCTGGGAATAAATTTAACCAAAGAGGCAAAGGATCTGTACTCAGAAAACTATAAAATACTCATGAAAGAAATTGAAGAAGA